GAAAGCTGCGGCACACAGAGGTTAAGTACCTAGGTTAAGATCACACGGCTAGTCATGCGACCCCAGGCAGTATGGCTCCCAGGGCTGCTAAGCTCACAGCCACTCTACCACACCACGTCTCCGAAGAGCTCTTGGTTTTGTTCAGTAAAGACCGTTATCTTGAGGGCCTTGAACTGCTCCGTGGCACATAGTAGGCACTCAATATATAGCTGTGGAGTGGATAACAGAGTACACTATTACTACTTTACATATCTGTATCATTTCTTCTAAGCCTAGCAACCCCTTTATTTAGCCACTATTATTACCTCCATTTTACAGATAAGAAAATTGAGGCTTGGAGTGGCAAGGTACTTGGGGAGCTCTTGATTCTCTCCTTAGAATGTGACTCAGCTTTCATAGTCCACTGCACCACTCCCCTGCCCAGAGATGGACGGGCTCCCTGCCTACCACCTAAAGCCCAGTGTGCAGTATGGTCCTGAAAACCCTCAGCCTACAGCTCTGATTCAGGCCTTCTGGAGTCGGACTGCCCAGCAGGCAGGCTGAACGCATGCTTCTGGTGTTAGCATGCAAGAGTTGGGTATCTAAACTTTCAAAGAAGCATATGGATGGCTGGGCGCGGTGGCTCATGCCTGTAATCCTAGCATTTTGGGAGGCCAAGGCAGGTGGACTGCTTGAGATCAGGAGTTCAAGACCAGCCTGGCCACCATGGTGAAAACCTATCTCTAGTAAAAATACAAAAATCAGCCGGGTGTGGTGGCATGCGCCTGTATTTCCAGCTACTCGGGAGGCTGAGGCAGGAGAATAACTTGAACCTAGGAGGTGGAGGTTGCAGTGAGCCGAGATTCAGGATTGCACACATGGGGAACCTGACGCCACAGTGGTCATGACCTACCCAGGATCCCCTAGCTAGAAAACCACATAGCACGTCTGGTTCCAAAGTTGGGCCCATCTGCTAGCACCTTCTATTAGGCCTTAGTGTGGATTGGGATGGGCCAGGAAACCTCCCTCTTCCTCCTTCCCAGTGCACCCACATGGCTGGCTTTTTTTTTTTTGGAGACGGAGTCTCACTCTGTTGCCCACCCTGGAGAGCAGTGGCGTGATCTCGGCTCACTGCAAGCTCCGCCTCCTGGATTCACACCATTCTCCTGCCTCAGACTCCTGAGTAGCTGGGACTACAGGCGCCCGCCACCACGCCCGGCTAATTTTTTGTATTTTTAGTAGAGATGGGTTTCACCGTGTTAGCCAGGATGGTCTTGATCTCCTGACCTCGTGATCTGCCTGCCTCAGCTTCCCGAAGTGCTGGGATTACAGGCGTGAGCCACCGCGCCCAATGGCCGGCTTTGTTAATCTTCCATGTGTAGGTAAACATCTTGTGTAGGACCAGAACATATGTGTGTGTGGTGGGGGTGGGGGACAAGTTCTCCATCTATATGCCCCACGTGGAACTTTCTGTACGATATGGCCCCATGTCCATGAGGGAGGGGGTTGAGAAAGAATGAGGAGACAGTGCCTGGGGGCTGGCGCTCTGCGTTTGGAGGATAGCAGCCTTGAACATGGGCAATCTCTGGAAGTGAGTACCTCTTTTGTTGGGGAATGTTGGGAGGGGGGCCTTCCACCTCCTTTGACCCAGTGCCTTTATTCTTAGGGATGTTGCCCCAGGGAGGTTCCCTGGGTTAGTCCCTTTTCCTCTCCTATAGAGCAGGTCGGCCCACAGCTTGCTGGGGGCCTAAGGCCTGGGGAAGGCATGCTTTGAGCTTGAGGTCCTGTCCTCTAGGGTGGGAAGGTGGGGCTGAGAGGGATCGGATCCTGCAGCCCTGGAAGGCAGCAGCCCCGGGGGAAGGGGACGACAGCTGTGGTGCGGGCCAGGAACCTGACACCAGGAGTGGGCCCCAAACACCCTCCAGAAAGAGCAGGGAAGGGCGGGCAGGTGCCCCAGGGGCAGTAGCAGCAGGCACAGATGCTCTGGGGTGGGCCCACTGGTCCCTGCTCAGCCTCCCTGCCATGTGGATATCACGCTTCCCTTGTTGTCTCTGATGAAGGGGAGAAATAGTGCTACAATCCCAGCTTGAGGCAACCATGAGGAAATTCTTCCTCTAATTTTCCTTGGCCTAGAACTATCTACTGAGGGTATACGCAGGAGGCCACAGGCCAGGCATGCCCCTTCCCTGGGTTCTTGGGGAAGGTGTTCTAGGTTCCAGAGGTGGGGTAAACCAGGGGGAGTCCTCCCTGGCTTTGCAGTAAGGGCTCTAGGCTGGAGCACGGCTCCACCGGTGGCTGTGTGACTTTGGATACATTAGCTAATGTCTCTGAGCCCTGTCTACTCATTGGTAACCTGAGCTTGGCCTGGGTGAGTTGACGCTGTAGGACAGGCAGTTCTCAATCCCAGCTCCCTGTCAGGGCCTGAGGAGGCAGTTAGTCCTCACTGTCCTGTGTCCCCAACCCTACTGTGTATGAGAATGCCTGGGCCCCACCACAGGCTCCAGGCATAGGAACCTAGCACCAACATTTTAAAAAAGCTACTCAGGTGATTTGTGTGTGTGTGTGTGTGTGTGTGTGTGTGAGAGACGGAGTTTCGCTCCTGTTGCCCAAGCTGCAGTGCAATGGCACGATCTCGGCTCACAACCGCCGCCTCCCAGGTTCAAGCATTCTCCTGCCTCAGCCTCCCAACTAGCTGGGATTACAGGCGCCCACCACCACGCCCGGCTAATTTTTTATATTTTTAGTAGAGACAGGGTTTCACCATGTTGGCTAGGCTGGGCTTGAACTCCTGGCCTCAAGTGATCCACCTGCCTTGGCCTTGCAAAGTGCTGGGATTACAAGCGTGAGCTATGGTGACCGCTACTCAGGTGATTCTAAGGCGCAGCCAGGTTACATAGTGTTGGGTCAAATGCAAAGTACCACCCACCCCTCTCCCCAGGAGGGCAGGGAAAGAGCATAGCACCCAGCTCTGAGCAGAGCTTCTCCTCTGCCTGGGGTTGGGGGGATGTGGGGAGATGGAGGAGAGAGGAAGAGAAGCGGAGAGGAGGAAGAGAGGGAAGAAGAAAAGGGGGGAAGAGGGGAGAAAGGAGGAAGAAGGGAAGGAGAGGAGAATGGGGAAGGAGGAAAAGGGGGATGAGGGAGGAAGGAGGGGGAAGGAAGGGGAAGAAGGAGGGGGAAGGAAGGGGAGGAAGGACGGGAAAGGAAAGAGGGAAGGAAGAGGCGAGGGGAGGGGCAGGGAAGGGGAGGGAAAAAGGTAGAGGTGGGCTGCCATTTATCCAGTAGCCCCTGTGCCCATTGCCTGATTCTTTTTTGATTGCTGTTGCTGAAGAGGGAATGTGAATTCCAAGGCTAAAGGCAGAGGGACCCCCTGGGCCAGAGCTCCCCGGCAGCTGGAGCTTTTGCAGGCCTCAGGGTCCCACAGGTGGTGTTTCCTTCATAAGAGGGCTGCTCAGCCCGGGCGCGGTGGCTCACGCTTGTAATCCCTGCACTTTGGGAGGCTGAGGTGGGAAGATCACGAGGTCAGGAAATTGAGACCATCTTGGCTAACATGGTGAAATCCTGTCTCTATTAAAAATACAAAAATTAGCTGGGCGTGGGGGCGCATGCCTGTAATCCCAGCTATTTGGGAGGCTGAGGCAGGAGAATCGCTTGAACCACGGAGGCGGAGGTTGCAGTGAGTTGAGATTGCACCACTGCACTCCAGCCTGGTGGCAGAGGGAGGCTCCGTCTCAAAAAAAAAAAAAAATTGGGCTGCTCGTTCCCATCGGTGGCACTTTCCTCTGTGCCAGGCTCCAAGCTCTGCACCAGTTTACCTGCTTTAGCCCTCCTAGGAGCCTCATGGGGCTGGACCTCTCATCATCCCGACGACCAACCTAGGGGCACAGTATCCAGCCTGTGCAGGGTGCAGCTGGGCCCCTTGGCCGCCCTCAAGCCACCAGCACACTTCATCAACAGTTTGGTGGTGAAAGGGCCTCAGCAGATGAAAGAAGTTGAGCAAGAATGAGAAAGGCAGTCAAGCCACAGTGCAGGGTATTCACAGAAAAGCGGGCCCTGGGGTCAGCCAGGAGCCCATGTGGACAGGGAGGAGAGGAACCCTGAGCGTCTCCTCCCCGAGGCTGCACAGGCGGTGCAGTGTAGGGAACTGGGAGCCTGGTGCACCAACCCCTCAAATTCACACCTGTGGGTGACGGTAGGGCTAGGGACTAGCCAGGGCCATCACGGGGCCTGTCCATGGTCCCCAGTGATGGGGAAAGCTTCCTCCCCAGCCCAGATGGGAGCCTCAGATCACAGCCAGGAGGTCCCAGGGCAGCGTCCCCTAATCCTGGGTGGTTTTCCAGAGAGGAGGCTTCCTTGTGAGAACCCCCCACGCCCAGTCCTTCATACCAAAGACAGCCAACTCAAGGCTAGGCCAGCACAGACAGAGGTTTTGCTGAGAAATGAGTTGCCAAAGTCACTGGTATGGCCTTCACCCCCTGCCTCAGGTGGGAACAGACTGAAGCCTCTATTTGCTGAGGAGGGACCTGGAGGAGCCTGACCCTGCACTGGGGCCACAGTGGGTGCTGTGACGAGCCAGCCCTGGCTTGCGCTGCAGCAGTCTCCACTTGCCACCTTCTCCTACCCTCCCAACCACCCATTTTTCAGAGGAGAGGTGACCCTCCGTGCCCCAGCCTGTGAAGTGGGCAGTGGGAGTTCACAAATGGGGCACCTGACCCAGGGCTCTCTGCCCAACCCCCACACCAAGTTCCTGGTGGTGCAGCACACGGGGTTTCCCTGGGATCCCCCCAAAATGGACTGTGAGCAGAAAGGAGGAAACAGATTCAGTACACGGAGAGCATCCTGGATGCAGACCCAGGCAGCACTGAAAAGAAGCTGCTACCCAGAAAGACGAAACTCTAACATCTCAGGGAACCAGGCAGGGGCTGGCCCTACAGATGCCACAGAAATAGCAGCCAGAGATGCCCTAGGCTGGAAGGCTGGTGGTGGCACAACCTGGCACCGTGGGCCCATCCAGGAACAATTGGTAACTGAGAACTGTTTAAGTCCCAAAGCTTATGAATGATTTCCACCATTTACATTGTTTCATATTGATATCACCTAGAGAATGTTCCAGGTTACCCTATAGAGGCAGTGCTCTTGCTTGTTTACATGCCAAAGTGCTTGTGGAAGAGGTGACAAAAGGGTGGCACCCCTGGGTAAGTGCATGCCTATGAAGAAGTAGCCCAACCAATGGCTTTGCAGCACACAATGTCCCGGTGGGGAAACTGAGGGCCAGAGAGGGGAAGGGACGTGTCCAGGATCACATGGTGATGGGACACCCAGGGCTGGGCCACTGGTCCGTGCCCAACCTCCACGGGTGAGGAAGGCTTTGGGGAGGGGAGGTGGCCAAGTCAGGCCTCCCCCTCCACCTCATCCTCGCTGGCGCAGCCCTCGGACATGGCTCTGCGCTGGGATGTCCGCCTCTCCATGTACTCGGCCTTAAGCTGCTCCAGCTCCCGCAGCTCAGCCTCCAGCCGCTCCCGGTGGACCATGCGCAGCTGCTGCAGCTGTTTCATGCGGAAGGGGTTCATGTCGTTGAAGGCGATGTTCATCAGCTTCCTGGGAGGAGGGCACAATCAGCCCAGAGCACGTCACCCCACCTGGCTGGCATTTACCCACCTGGCTGGCGTTTACCAGGCTCTCCCAGACAGACATCCCCACATTCCTTCTGCCCTTGTGGCTGAGCCCTGGCCCCTGCCCTCAGGAGGAAACAATGAATAAGATGATTTCCACCCACAGAGATATGTACTGAGGCAGGAGGGAGATCAGAAGAAAGACACCTAATCTAGCAGGGAAGGGCTGGTCATGGAGGGCTTCTTGGAGGAGGTGACATGTGAGCTGAGTTTTAAAGAATGAATAAAAGGTGACCAGGCAAAGAAGATAGTAGTGGTGGAAGTGGCAAGGAGGCGTTCTAAGTAGAAGAAACTGCAAGGGCAAAAGCCCGGAGGTGAGGTTGTCCTAGGAACTCGTATAATTCTGTTTTCCAGGAACACTGGCCTGGAAAGTGGATGTTCAGGGTAGGGGAAGGTGGGGAAAAAATGAAACTCCATGGAAGCCTCAAATGCCATATATTAAGAGGGCAGACAGATCACTCAGACAGTCAGACTTCCCCGAAGATTTCTAAGCTATTAATAGGAGCATCAGCATCACTTACCAATTTCTACTTGCAAACATCAGCCTCCCCTCTGCTATGTGTCCTGGGGGTAGGTGAGTGGTGGGAGTGGCAGGGGGGTGGGGGGTCCTCACCGGCTGTTGGAGATGGTCTTGGTGAAGAAGCGCAGGTACTGGTAGATTTCCAGGCCATTGTGTAGCCTCAAGATCTCCTTCTCATTGTACTTGAAAACGGCCAAGGCATAGCGAAACACCACCTGGGGGTAGAGTGGGGGCTCAGGTGGGGCATGGGAGGCCAGGCAGGTCATCCCTGGAGGGAGGGAACCTGATAGACCCAGGCAGTATGGAAGACCCTGGACTGGCTGCAGAAGTTGAGGCCTGGAGGCACAATGTGCGGGGGAGGGCTCCAGGGGGCTGGGGGAGACTGAATACCCTCAGGGGGCACACAGCTTGAAATCTGGGGATTTGGACAGAGTCCTGGCTCTAGCCTGTCTTGTCCCATGACTGTGGGTGAGGCATGCCCCTGTGGAATCTCATGGAGTTAATCTGTATCTTTACGTGGAGCTTTGGCAGGAACCAAACAAAACAACAGGCCAGACGTGGTGGTTCACGCCAGTAATCCCAGCACTTTGGGAGGCCAAGTCGGGCAGATCACCTGAGGTCAGGAGTTCGAGAGCAGCCTGGCCAACATGGTGAAACCCTGTCTCTACTAAAAATACAAAAATCAGCCAGGATTGGTGGCGTATGCCTGTAATCCCAGGTACTCCGGAGGTTGAGGCAGGAGAATTGCTTGAACCCGGGAGGTGGAAGTTGCAGTGAGTGGAGATCATGCCACTGCACTACAGCCTAGGTGACAGAGCAAGGCTCCGTCTCAAAAAAAAAAAAAAAACAAAAACAAAAAACTCTGGGTGCTTTGTAAACTGAGGTGTAAACTAGGGCTGAGTTGGGGGACCTGCCCAGGGTCTCCAGGCAAGGTCTGGACAGAGCTGGGTCCAGACCTGAGCTCCGGTCTCTTAATCCAAGGCTTAGTCCAAACAAGAGGAAGAAAAGGAGGGTCCAGGTGACTGGGGGGGTGGGGCAAGGACAGCATAGGGATGTGCCTCTCTGATCATGCTCACACCTCATCTCCACAGAAAGGAAATCTCCCAACTTTAGGACATATCTTCAGTGGCAGAACCACTACTTCTTCTCATACATGCAAAGCACTTTACAGTTGACAAAGCCATGCTCTCAGGAGACGTTCCCAACAGCCCTGACAAGTAAGCGTTGTCTTCCCATTCTCCAGGGGCAAAGTCAAGACTCAGATGGGTGAAGGGACTTGCTCAGGGGCCCCATCCCCTGGCAGCACCCTACCTTGGTCCCCTCGTACAGGAAGGCATCCCAGACCCGAAGGAGGATGTTGCTAATGAGACTGTCTGCAAAGACCACGAGGAACCAGTTGAAGGTGATGAGGGAGAGATCCACGTGGTGCTGCCCCAGGTGGGCCATCAGCCTGGGCAGCTTCTCCGAGAGGAGGTCCTGGAGCACCCGCTGGTCCACCTGGAAGCCAGAGAGAGAGCCTGTCATCTGCAGCCCCAGGATAAGGCTGCCTCCCTCCCTGCCCAGCCTTCCTACCCAGTCAGTCCACACACAGTCCTGAAGCTGCTCTGGGCAAGTTCTTTCCTGCTCCTCAGGGAACCAGAGCCCAATGTAGCTGGGAGTCAGGTACAGCATCATATCACTCCGCTGCTCCTGACATAGGCCAGAGTCCTCTGGACCAGGGCACTGGGCTCTGCAGTGGAGCCGTGTGGGCTGGCACGTTCTCAGCCCCCTCGCCCATCTGAATCCCTTGAGCCAAGCAGGAGCTCAGGGGCCAGCTGATCCTCCTGGCAGTTCAGAGACACTGGTCTCATGCCCACAGGCCTTGGCAAAATGGAAACTTTGTCTCTAGGCTTGTATCAGCTGACATCCACAGCCCCTTCTCTATACCCAATTTGTGCCTGACACCTAAGATGCTAGGCGGATGTCTGGTCCAGGACAGGTGTGTGTGTGGGAGGGCATAATGTCCTGCCTCGCCAGACACCAAGGAGTCTTCTCAAAGCAGGGTGCTCCTGGCCACAGTGGCCAGTGACCTCTCCTTGTGGCCACTGTCATGCCTCTGTCCTTGTTTCACTGGATGGGTTAACCACTTTCAGCACTGGCTCCTTCCCTGGCTCCAAGACATGGTTAATTTCGTGGTTTTCCTCCTCCCTGTGTGATGACCCCATTTTATTCCCCTTGCTCTTCCTTCCTGGAACTGCTGGTTGCTCAGTGCTCTCCCCTCGCTTACGTCCTCTTCCAGGCATTAGCGTCAGCTGTGGCAAATAGCCAGTAGCTCCCATCCTCCCTCACCCAGAACCTTGGGTCATCTACGGAGGCCAAGTGTCCAGTTCAAAACCTAAGGTAACTCCCTGAGTCTGAGATGCCACTGACCTACTGAAGGATTTACGGATGAACTGATACAATGCCAGAAATTTACTTCGAGATAAAGCAGGAGGAGTGGATGGGAGTTCAGAAGAAATAACACTGGCTCCCTGGGTTGATAACTGAAGCCAGGTGATAGACATATGGAGGTTCATTATACTATTCCCTCTATTGTATTGAATGTGGGAAATTTTTCATAATAAAATATGAATAAAAGGGTCATAGAACACACATCAATTTCAGAGATGTTAAGATGTAAAAATTAAATATGTACATTTCCTAGCCTGCCTTGCAACTAGGACAGCCATGAAATAGTTCTGACCAGTAAACTGCAAGTAGAAGTTGCTGGGTCAGGGAGCCAGGTCCTGGTGCTCACCTTCTGCTCCTCCTGGCCTAGGCCATGGCCACAGTGCTGGAGGTGATGCGGCCATTTTGTGACCAGGAGGTGATGGATGTGAGAATGAAGGCCACACGCCAGAGATGGCAGAGCAGGGAGCTAGGAGCCTGAACCCAGTGGTTCTGCCTGGTCATTTACTATCTGAGAAAAATAATCCCCCACTGAAGCTGTTGTTAGGTTGGGCTTCTCTTCCATGCAGCCAAATGCACTCCCACAGTACAGAGGGAGAAAAGGAAGCCTGACAGATTCCCAACTTTCCTGAGAGCCACAGGCTTCTAGGAACAGCTCTGGGGCACTGCCCTGCATGGCTGCCAAGTCCCCTCCCCGCCCCACTCACCTGGGATGCCGTCAGTGTGTTGGAGTAGTAATCAGTGGGCATGATGGTCTCCACAATGGCCACCAGGCACCAGAAGGCGCTCTCCTCTTCCTCTAGGACCAGCAGAGCGATGGCCGCCAGCCTGGAGTGGTAGGAAAGGAGGCCTGGATTGATTACAGAAGTCGTGGCCCTGCCAGGCAGCACGTGGCAGAGGTGGCTTCCTGGGTTCCAGGGGGAAAGTCCTTCCATGTGAGCACCAGTGCAACCCCACTCCCTAACCAGACTGGTGCTCCTGGCACCTGGGGTGAGACAAACGCTCTTCGGGGGAGGATGACCGGCGTTTTCCAGAGCAATGGGGATCACTTCAGAGCAGGGGCTCTGGAGTCAGGCTGCTTGGGTAAATCCTGATCTTGCGGCTTCCTGGGTAACCTGGGACAAGTTACAGAACCCCTCTAAGCCTCAGTCTCATAATAATCACAGGACTGTTTTGAGGATGCACAGAGCTCATTCAGTGCCCCACACGGTGCCTGCCACACAGTGAGCTCTTTATAAATGTGAGCTATCCGCACCTTAATATTCACAGGCTTTGAGACCTCGGCAAGCACGCTAACCTCTCTGGACCTCGGTTTCATGATCTGAGATTAGATATTTATTGTTAGCGAGATTAACAATATCTATCCCCCCAGGGCCATGAGGCGTCTTGAGACACACCTACCGTGCCTCGCTCACTGCCTGGCATTTACCAGGTGCTCAATGCACATAACTTTTTTTCTCCTTTATTTCCCCTGCCCACCAAGTTAGCATAAGGCTCTAATGAAATCATGGGTAAGAAACAAACAAAAACCCACAGGGCTGAGCAGGGAAGTCTTCCTGGGATAAGCACTGTTTTCTCTACTTCTCCCATCTTCCCTGGCAGCTCCCATCCCGGGCCAGTCCAAGAAGACGTTTTCCAAAAAATGTCTTTCCAGGGACTACTGGTCTCCTAAGATGCGAGGTGAACACAAGGTTCTATATTCAAAGATATCTGGGGAATGCTGCACATTCTAGCCCCTGGAGGGTTATGATGTACACAGTCTTAGTAAAGCCTCTGAGAAGTCCTGTGGTAACAAAATCCTGTGGCTGATTCTAACCCAGCGTCACCCAGGGGGTCCACAGAACCCCTGTTGTCCATTGCACCCATGGGGGCTGAGTAGAATGAATGTTCCTCAGAGGACCCTGGGGAGATGTCGCTTTAGAAAGCCTCTGACTCTATGGTCATAACGAGCATTTAAGGAACACATTCCGTCATCCATATACTCATGCTTCTTTGGGTTCTCTCTAGATTAGATCATGACCTTCACCTTCTTTTGAGGCTCACAACTCTTAGAAACATGGTTGAATCCCAAAAGAAAAAAGAAATATCCCTTCTCTTTCCCCAACAGAGTGGGAAGGAATTTCTCCCAACTATGGTTCAAATATTTGTATAAAACCTTCCTGAGTTGAAGCTGCGTGGATGAAGAGAACATTCACAGGTCTCCTGGGAAATAGGAGGCTCTGTTCTCTCAGAGCTGGTGGGGAGGGACCTCCACAGGTCACTGAGTTCAAGGATAGCAAAGGTGGCATACACTGGCCTCTATTCTCTTTGTCTGTGCCCAGGGCAGACATAACTAACAGATCATGGCAGCATTCCCTTTGCCTAAGCCCATGGTAGACATAAATAATTGATCACAGTACTCTTTCCCACTGAGTCTGAAGGCTGCCTCAGAAACTCTCTCAGGACAGGGCTCCAGGCAGCTGCTTCCTACTGGTTGTTTCTGGTCTAGACAAACTCCTTATTGCAGTGGTTGAAAACCCAAGACCCAGAAAGCAGAAGTTACCTGCTCAACATTATATAGTCAGTTGGCGGCAGAGTGGAAATAGAACCCAGGGCTCCCAAAGTCTACTCCAGTGCTCTCTCCACTCTATCCTACCCTGTTACCCCTGAGCCTCAGGATGGCCTCAGTCTAGGGGTTAGCTGCCAGGATTGGTTTGGACTTCAGCACATGTTAAAAAGTCAGTTATCTGAGGCTGGTGGCTAGGATTTACTAACTGCTCAGGGGTATGGCTGAATTCAAACCTAAGGGCATTCAGGGCCCAGGTAGGCTTGCAAAGAAAGGAGTGTGTCGATGGGGGAAAAACAAACTACTTTTAAAGCACTGTACTTATTTTCACAGGGAAATGGGTTTAAAACATTTGCTCTAAATTAGCATTAGCTCATCACGGTGGTCTCCATCACTATCTAAACAAGCTGGATTTGTTGCCTTAGAGGCAGGGTCTGTCATCTTGAGACATCAAACATGCAGTTCTTTTTCTTTTCTTTTCTTTTTTTGAGACAGAGACTCACTCTGTTGCCCAGGCTGGAGTCCAGCTGCATGATCATGGCTCACTGCAACCTCTGCCTCCTTATCACCTCAGCCTCCCAAGTGGCTAGAACTACAGGCATGTGCCACCACGCCTGGCTAGGTTTTTTTTTTTTTTTGACAGGGCTTTGCCATGTGACCAAGGCTGTCTCAAACTCCTGGGCTCAAGGGATCCACCCACCTCAGCCTCTCAAAGTGCTAGAATTACAGGCGTGAGCCACAGCGCCCGGCCCATACATGCAGTTCTAATGGCTACCACTAGATGGCAAAGAAGACATGTGTCAGGGACCTGCAGGCTTGGGCTTAGAGCCTTCAAACGAATACCTTGCACATGCCACATTTGAACAGGCTTTCTATTATGAAATGGAGTCTTGCTCTGTCGCCAGGCTGGAGTGCAGTGGTGCGATCTCGGCTCACTGCAACCTCTGTCTCCCTGGTTTAAGTGATTCCCCTGCCTCAGCCTCCTGAGTAGCTGGGACTACAGGCACCCGCCACCAAGCCCAGCTATTTGTTCTATTTTTAGTAGAGACGAGGTTTCACCATGTTGGCCAGAATGGTCTCGATCTTGTGACCTCATGATCTGCCCACCTCAGCCTCCCAAAGTTCTGGGATTACAGGCATGAGCCACTGCGCCTGGCCTATTATGTTTACATGAACACCAATTATCTGCACTTGCATATCAAATTTAAGTAAAAATACCATTCAGAGAAAGATATTTTAGAAAACCCATCTGGGGACCTTCCGCCTCTCTTGGTCTCAGTTGTCCCTTCTGCGCCCCTCTGTGGCCTGTGTGCTGCCTCCTTCTACACAGGGAGAAGGTTCTCGCCTTCTACGAGGCTTATCTCAAGTGCCCGTCCTGCTATAGGATTTTTCTCTGTCCCTTCAGCACAGGTTGAACTTCAAAAGCAGGTCTCAAGAAGTTTACATCTACATAAGAGAAAGGTTTCTGTGGGGCCTCAGCACAGCCTCTGACTACTGCTATTTGGAGAGAGGGCAGGTTGTGGAAAGGACTGGGTTTGCGGGCTGGGGGCAGCCAGGGCCCAGGGTAAGCAGTTGGCTGGGCCAGCATTTGTGGTGAGGCAATGGGCGGGCTCCTCGGCCTCTCAGACCCTCTCATGTTTCATCTGGGCATGAGGGCACCAGTGAAGGTTTCTGTGAGGATTAAATGCCATCAGGTGTTAAACACCTGGCATCCAAGAGGCCCCCATTATGCATTACTTCCTACCTGGCCTTTGTGTGAAATGCAAAAATTATTATTCATTCTGATCTCATAGCTTCCAGCTCCCTTCACAGCTATTCTTACAAGAAGCTTTGCAGGTTTTGTTTCTCCTGGATTTTAACATGTTCAAACAAATGAGGAGTACAGGGGCTTTTGTCAGACTGTTGAATGAATGAAATTTCTACAGACCTGCCCTGTGGCAGGCATTTAGCGTGGCATGAAATCTGAACATATTTTCCAAGGAGGCTTTGAGAGGCATTACTGTTGGAGTTTAACTCTTAATTCTCAGGAATTGTACATATACATGCTCAATGTCACCCAATTTTAGGCTGGAAATAGAGTATGAAAAATATCTACCTTTGGAAACCACTCAAATTTGAGTAAGGACACTGAATGTTGATTCTGTGTTAAATAAATGTCACGCGCCACCTATTCTGAAAAAAGAGCAGTATGGCTTATGTAAATTTTGCTTAGGTATATGTGTGTTTAAAGTAAATTGAGTCAAAACTTGCTTTGGGAAAATATCTGCAACTATGCAACTTCTACTGAAATAGCTGGGGCTGGAGTAGGGGGATGACAGTCCCTCACAGTCTTGGAGGGGAGACAGCCCTGTGAACCAGGTGACCTCATCCCCTATCCCCAGTCCCTCCCTCCATCCCCACCAATTGGACCAGAAGTGGAAATTATTCCTGACTGGGCCAATCAGATTCTTTCTTTGGGGAATTTAGGCCTGGAACACAAGGGGTGGGGTGAGAAGACTCACTGAAAGGCCCAAGACTCAGGGGCTGAGGTCTCCATTCTGACAGCCTTGATGGTCCCTAAATGTCCAAAGAATGAATGGACAGAGGCTGGTCTGCTGAGAGAGAAGGAAGCAGACACACATAATGAAGAGAGGCCAGAGGCCATGCAGCTGCAGAAGGCAGCAGAGCAGTACCTTGGTGCTAATATGAGCTTAGGGGATGGCATCCCAGGACTGTGACACGAAGGCTGCCCCCTGGGGTTGTGCAGGGCTGTGGCCCTGCTGCAGAGAGCAGCTGCCTTGACTTCCAATGACCATCTGGTCCTCAGCTCTGTTTTCTTTTCCTGGCTTCTGTGAAACCCCCTTGTAACATTTAGAAAGTCCCTTTTCCCAGGGTCTTCTGCATGGGTTTCACTGAAAGCAAATGATTCCTGACCCAGAAAGTCCTGCCATGTGGGTGGGGCCATACCCTGTAGATTCCAGCAGGTCAAGGTTTGAGATGCCATGTGAGTTGTACCTCCCCAAGCACAAATCAAAGGAGAGAGCAGGGACAAGGGGCCTGGAGCTCTGAGCTCTGGCCCATCTCTATCTTAAACATGTCCTCTCACCAGCCTGTGGTGGGGAACCTGGGCTCATATCTCCAGGTTCTTGGGAGGCTCCAAAGAGAGAGAGAGCAGTGCTCTAAAACAGCAGTCCCCAACCTTTTTGGCACTAGGGACCAGTTTCATGAAAGACAATTTTTCCATGGACTGGGGTGGGGGAGGGGTGGTTTTGAAACTGCTCCACCTCAGATCATCAGGCATTAGATTCTCATAAGGAACACGTAACCTAGATCCCTTGCATGCAGAGTTCACAATAGGGTTCATGCTCCTGTGAGAATCTCATGCTGCCGCTGATCTGACAGGAGGCAGAGCTCAGGTGGCAATGCTGTCTCGCCCACCACTCACCTCCTGCTGTGTGGCCCCATTAACAGGCCACAGATGGCTATTGGTCCATGGTCTGAGGGTTGGGGACCTGTGCTCCAAAAGGTAAAGGTCACACCTTCACTGGGCTTTGGTGGCTCACCTGTTCAGGCCTTGGCAGTAGCCGATGGTGGGGTTCTGCCAGGAGAAGGCCAGAAGCACCCGACGGAGCTTGTCAGGGAAGCTGGAGGTGGGGCAGGTGAAGTGCTTGTTGTTGGGGAAGGTCCGGTTCAGGTCCAGCTCAATCTGGCGGGCAGCAGGGTGCTCACGGGCCCGGCCCCGGCTCAGCAGTTCCTGGTAGCAGCCTGGAGTGTGCAGGTGCTGGACACGAAGGTGGACCAGCCACCTCCAGACACGAGGCCGGTGTTCACGGGGCACTCCTGCCCGCAGTAGCTGCTTGAGCTCAGCTGAGGGCACAAGCTCGCCCAGGGCAGCCCAGCGCTCCCGCAGCGGCCGATCCACAGCCTCGAGGCCCAGCAGGTGGTGGGAGCGCACCTCCAGTGCCTGGATCTTGGCCAGCAGCTTCAGGTCTTCGACCTCATAGTCGGGCACCGTCAGGAAGCCGTACTCATCATACTTACTGCCAGCAAAAGTCCATGTTAGCAACACCTTGCAGAGCCCTTCCCTAGATAAGGAGTGGTGGGGACAGGGAGGACCCCAGGCCAGGTTCCTGCCCTGCCTTCACTGAGGGTTAACCACACAGCAGGTCACTTCAGTTCTCCCAACCTCAGGTTGCGAATCTGTATAATGGGTATAGGAATCCCTGCTCTGCCACCTGAAGACCCAGTGAGATCCTCTGTTGTAAGATGCTGGGGGCCTAGGCCGGGCGCGGTGGCTCAAGCCTGTAATCGCAGCACTTTGGGAGGCCGAGACGGGCGGATCACAAGGTCAGGAGATTGAGACCATCCTGGCTAACACGGTGAAACCCTGTCACTACTAAAAAATACAAAAAAAAGAAAAAAACTAGCCGGGTGAGGTGGCGGGCGCCTGTAGTCCCAGCTACTCGGGAGGCTGAGGCAGGAGAATGGCGTGAACCTGGGAGGCGGAGCTTGCAGTGAGCCAAGATCTGGCCACTGCACTCCAGCCTGGGCGACAGAGCGAGACTCTGTCTCAAAAAAAAAAAAAAAAGATGCTGGGGGCCTAGATAATGCCTGGTACACAGTAAATGCTCAAGAGATATTTACTAATTCTATGCAAATATAAAGGACCCTCTTATTACTCCATGCAGTCTTAGGCCCAAGGAGTCCCGCACTGTGCATACAGAACCCCATTTACCACAGCCAGTAAGCCCAGGGATGGACGGGCAACAGACGGCACCAATGACAGGCAGAGGTGGGAGAGCTGGGGACCCCTTCCAGACAGCCTTTCATTTATTCAACTCACCTCCACTTTATGCCCTGCCTGCACAATCTCATTTAATCCTAATGATCCTGCAAAGCCGGTGTATTTGCCCAAATCTTGTATCTTCTTTTCTTTCTTTCTTCCCTTCCCTTCCTTCCAATATATTGCCCAGGCTGGTCTCAAACTCCTGGCCTCAAGTAATCCACCCAGTTCAGCCTCCCAAAGTGCTGGGATTACAGGCGTGAGCCACTGTGTCCAGCTCTTTGCACACATCTTATGGAGGCCGAGTACAAGGCTCAGAAAGGTAAAGGGAATTGTCACACATCGAGAGAGCCAGGACTGGCTCCAAAGCTTGAGCTTCTGCCACTGGACTACTCAGCCTCCAGGGGCCTTCGAGCATAGCCACGCTCCTTTCTGTTGTATTTAACCACCCGTGTCCACTGTGTGCAGCAAGGGCTTGGTGCAGAGGAGATGACCTGCTTGTCTCCCCGCCTCCCCTCCCTGACAGGCACATCTGGGAGGCAGCCACATTTGGGAGGCAGCCTGGAGAAACAGAAAGCACGGGGCTCTGGAGGCAGCCTGTGCCGCAAATGTACTGTAGGGCTGTGGCAGGGGGCTGCCTCCTCTGAGCGTGAACCATCTCAGCTGCAGCAGCACGCTCATGCATGTGAAGATCAGGGGAGGTGATGCTGTGTAGGACTTGCACGTGGTTGGCAGGACCTGGCAGCAGGGAAACTGGGGAGGAGCTGCCAGGTCACATAGACCAGCCCTGGCTGGGCCGCCAGGCTCACCTGATGGGGCTCAGCTCGATGCTGTCAGATGAGGCCTCCCCGGCTTCCCACTGCAGCGCCTCCTGGACAAGCTGCCTCAGCAGCTCTGAGCACTCGCTGGTTTCATCCCCCAGGGCCTCCTGCAGCCTTCTTAGTCCAGCCAGGTACTTGCTTTCCACTTGGCAGTTTCTGGCTTGGAGGTAGGCGCACTGCAAACAGGGAAGGGCTGGTCAGGCTACCTGGTGGGAGCTGGGCGGCCCCAGAAGCCTGAGGCCTGAACAGCTTTAGGCAGCACAGCCCTTCCAGCTCTCATCTGCCCCACTCCCGACTCCCAGACCTTCGTATAAGGGAAAGGAGACGGGCCCTGAGGCCAGTGGTTTTCAGCAAGGCGGGCAAGAGAGGACCGGGCCCAGGTTGGAGCTGGTTCAGAAGAAAGAGGAGAGGGGTGTGCAGAGACAGCACAAGCTCTTACACAGGTTACGGTCCCATCCTGGTTCAGCCACTGCTAGCTGTGTGGCCTGTGGCAAGTTACTTAACCTTTCTGTGCCTTAACTTCTTCATCCATAAAATGAGGATCATACAGAGTCTGCCTCAGGATTTGGGTGAGGATCAGATGAGCGGATGTGTGTAAAGCCCTTCCCAGGGTGCCTGGCACCTGGCAGGTGGTATGACTGAGCAGCTCCCAGGGCACGGACACTGCCCTTGTGGCTGCCCTCTGCTGCCACCACCTAGGCTCTTTCTGTTCCTCCAACACACATCCCTCCCACTTCACAGCCCTCCTGCACCCTCTTCCCTTGCTTGGGACACTGCCCCCCCAACCCCGCCTCACCTTGAACTTTTGTGTTTCCATTTATACAAGCTGGGTGGTACTAGGCAAGTCAGGCAAGTTCCTTGTTTTCAATTTTTGTGAGATGGGGACAGTGAAAATCTGCTCAAAGCACTGCCATAACCTCTGGGCCACCCCGAATCCTATCTCATCCTGGGGTGGCAGCAAGGGAACAATTCTGCTGCACCTTTGCCCGGTTGCCATCTCCAAACACTTGCCGGGCACCAGCTCCAAGCCATCCTCTGTGCCTATTCTTCTACCTATCCCACCTGGTGCCCACCTCTGTCGCCTGGGCTGCTTCCTGAGTCCCACCATTAACACCTGTTTCAGGGATTGCTTGCTTTTTTTTTTTTTTCCAAGAGAGTCTTGCTCTGTCCCCCAAGCTGGAGTGCGGTGGCACAATCTTGGCTCACTGCAACCTCTACCTCCTGGGTTCAAATGATTCTTGTGGCTTAGCCACCTGAGTAGCTGGGATTACAGGTGTGCACCACCACGCCCGGCTAATTTTTGTATTTTTGGTAGAGGCGGGGCTTTGCCATGTTGCCCAGGCTGGTCTTGAACTCTTGGGCCCAAGGATCCACCTGCCTCGGCCTCCCAAAGTGCTGGGATTCCAGGCCTGAGCCACCGCACTTGGCCCCTTCTCAGGGATTTCTGCTGCTATTCCAAACAGTCTCCCCACTTCCAGGCTCACCTCCTCAAGCCCACCCTTCTGAGCAGTCACAGCAGTCTTCTCGGAACAGGAACAGAAGTCTGATTGAGGACTTCTCCACTCAGAATCCTTCAGCTCCCCAGTTTCCTTGGAGTAAACTCCAAACTCCTCATCTCCAGCCTCATGTCTCACTCTCCCCAGCCCTGCCCTCTGCCTCTCAGACCACACATCTTTTACCATGCTGTCTCTTTTTCTGGAAGGTCCTTCTCCACTGCTTGCCTGGGTAACATTAACTCATCCTTAGGACTCAATTCAGAAGGTACATTTGAATCGGACCCCCAAGAATCCCACAAGCCCAAGTGCATCTTTTTTTGGGGGGTGTGGCGGGGACGGAGTCTCACTGTGTCGCCCAGGCTGGAGTGCAGTGTCTCGATCTTGGCTCACTGCAAGCTCCACCTCCCGGGTTCACGCCATTCTCCTGCCTCAGCCTCCCGAGTAACTGGGATTGCCCAGCTAATTTTCTTTTTTTTTTTTTTTGAGACAGAGTCTCGCTCTGTCACCCGGGCTGGAGTGCAGTGGTCGGATCTCAGCTCACTGCAAGCTCTGCCTCCCGGGTTTACGCCATGCTCCTGCCTCAGCCTCCTGAGTAGCTGGGACTACAGGCGCCTGCCACCTCGCCCGGCTAGTTTTTTGTATTTTTTAGTAGAGACGGGGTTTCACCGTGTTAGCCAGGATGGTCTCGATCTCCTGACCTCGTGATCCGCCCGTCTTGGCCTCCCAAAGTGCTGCGATTACAGGCTTAAGCCACCGCGCCCGGCCTTTTTTTTTGTATTTTTAGTAGAGACGGGGTTTCACCGTGTTAACCAGGATGGTCTTGATCTCCTGACCTCATAATCTGCTCGCCTCAGCCGCCCAAAGTGCTGGGATTACAGGCGTGAGTCACCGCGCCCGGTCCCAAGTGCATCTTGATTGTGTTACACTCCCTCGATAGTCTACACCCTCCTTGCGGGCAGGAACCAGCCTTATTGGTCTTGATGTCCCTACCCCATAGCTACCTAGTGAACGCTGCTGAACAAATGACTCAGCCACCAGACCACAGGGGAATGGAGAAGAACCTGATACGGGCCTTGCTCACAAGGGTCAGTTTAGACGGAGAGCAGCAGACAAGAAATGAGGAGAGTGAGACGGGGTGGGCAGCATGGGGACCAGCAGAGGGGCTGGGGATGGAGATGGCAGGAACAGGGCCCCACCCCACACCTTCGTCAAGAGGGCCTTCTCCTTCTCAGCCACCTTTCTCCAGATCTTCGTGACCTGGTGGATCTCGGAGTTGAGGAAGCGGTTCTGGGTCCGGTAAGCTTCCATGTCATCCTGGAGAAGAGAGCGAAGTATGTTATGAGTTGGACATAAACATCTCCCTGGTCCTGGGGAGTCACACCCTCAAATGAGCCCCCAAAGCTTCTTTTCTTTGGAAACTTCCAATAATGGCAACAGAAGAGGAAGTCTGCAAGAAAAACAAAAATACTTATAGCCCCCTTCTCTATTCTCGATGTCAGCATGATGTGGTAAAGGAACCAATAGATCTGAATTTAAGCCCTGGGTGATGTCCTGGCTGGAAGGCTTCAGGCAGGCCACTGAACCACTCTGACCCTCTGTTTCGTCATCTGTAAAAGGGGCAAATACCAACTAACCTACTGGGCAGTTGGGAGACTAAGTGAGATAATGTGTGATAACACTACAGGGACCAAAACAAAGCAAGTGCTCCACTAGTGTTTGTTTTTAAAATCAACATATTTTATCATATATTTATAATCATACTGTAAAATTAACTCAGTGTTACTTTGAAAAACCTTTCAATGTTGCTACATAAGCTTCCCAATGATCATTTTCACCCTCTGGTGATGATTCTATTGGGTGAATTTACCAGAACTTACTCATAATCCTTTTCCTGTCATTTTTAAATTTGAGCCCGGGGTGTTTGCAGTTGGTTTTTGATTATTAATAATGCTGTGATGAACATCTCTGAGTTTGCCTTTTGTAAGTTGCCCATCCAGTGGAGGGAATGAACTCCCTGCTGCTGGGACATACAAGGAGAAGCTGGACAAGCACTGGGAAGGTTCAAGCAAGGACCGGAGCCTCAGAGAAGAATCAGCTATAGTAGCGGCTCTCAATTCTGCTCAGATGGACAGTACAGAAGCCGTTCAGTCACCTAACACATGCTTAGAGCTATACCTCACAATTCCAGGGTATTTACTGGCTGAAACTCAGGACCTTTCTCTCCCATTGTCGTATGGGCTAGAGGCAAGTGCAAGGGATGCTGCAGCAGGGATGACTCCAACATGGCCTGATTGATTTGGAAATGAAGAACATCACACAGAGTTTGGGGCACTTCCTCATCAGGGTCACATGTGCACAGCCCACAGGTGGTCCTGGCCCTCCCTGTGTGGGCCTTCACTCCGGCCAAGATGATCGCCAAGGTCTTCCCAGCCTGGAAGCTCCGATGCATGCCCAGGGGCTGATGCCCTCCGCCCAGACCCTGACACACTAGAAGGGCCTCTGCTCCCCAGGCAGGAAACGAATGCTCCCCATTGATTTCATCATGTCATCCCGACTCACTGCTCCCCTGGGGCTCTCTGTGGTGCCCCAACCCCGGCCATCCCTGCTTTCATCTCTCTCACTGTGCCAAGGCTGAAAGGCTGTGCCTCCACTCAGTTTGCTCTCTTCCTTCTCCTGGCTGGACCCAGGCAGTTCCAACCCCTGGCGCCACCCTCCTCCACCTATCCAATCCTGTCCCTGACCTAGATAAAAAAACAGCTTCACTGTCTTTCCAAAATGCTGCTGTGTGTGCCAGCCACTCTGCTGGCAAGTTTCTGCCTGCTTCTTCTCCACGGTCCCCATATCCTATTCTTATGTGGCAAGAAGTGAAAATCTTGTTTGTGGTGCAGGGACCAGTCTCCCATGAGCACCAGGCCTTTCCAGGACCCCTCCCCACTCTCTCTGGAGTCTAACACTTTAGTGTCTGGAGATATAGAAACTTATGAATACAGACGCTGTGCAGGCTTCCTGCATCACTCCCTTCACCAACACCATGAGGCATATATTCTCTCACTTCATCCTCCCAGCAATCCTAGAAGGGATGTTCTTTTATTATTCCTATAACAGACGAGGCCTCAGAGGCTCTGAAAGGGGAGGTAACTTGCCTAAGGCACAGCCAGTATAAGGCAGATGTGACCACACCCAGGTCTGTCTAATACTTTTTGTTTGTCTTGCTTTGTTGCCCAAGCTGGAGTGCAGTGGCGTGATCATAGCTCACGGCAGCCTCGACCTCCCGGGCTCAAGCAATCCTCCCACCTCAGCCTGTCAAGTAGCTGGGACTACAGGCACGTACCACCACGCCCAGCTAATTTTTTGATTTTGTAGAGACGAGGTCTGACTATGTTTCCCAGGCTATTTTCCAACTCCTGGTCTCAAGCAATTCTTCCACCTCAGCCTCCCAAAGTGTTAGGATTACAGGTGTGAGCCACCGTGCCTGGCCAGGACTGTTTCATTCTAAAGCCCCAACCACCAAACTTCCTGCTGGGCACCATCTGAGCTCCCCACCAGCTGGAATCCACCTGGATGCCCACACTCTAGTCCCTGCCCTCCAAGGGTTGGTTGTCCTTTGGTGTCTTCTGGCTACACGCATGCAGGCTCGTGTGACCTCTCCCACCCATCAGACAGTACAACAACACATTGAAGATGCTGGCGTTGGCCATGTACTGGCACCGCCTGGTGGTTAGCGGCATGAATGCTGTGGCCCCACTGTTTGGGTGGCAATTCTATCTTGACCGCTGAGCCCCTGGACAAGTTACTTAACCTTTCTGTGCCGCATCCTCTCATCTGGAAAATGAGGATAATAATAGCACTGCCTCATGCGGCTGGGAGAGGAGTCTGTGAGTTAATATGTGCAAAAGGCTCAGAACAGTGTCTGGCATGTGGCAAGTGCAACGTGAGCACTGTCTCCCTCACTGAGTTTGCATGACAGCTCGAGAGCTACTGTTCCCTACCCTGTACCCACCCCCTCAGTCGGCTGACAGAGCTCTGAATCCAATGCCCGGGAACATACGACAAGCCCCCCGCAGTGGAGGAAAGGACCTACCACGACCTGGCCCATCTCCCTCACATCCACAAGGCTGTGGGATAAATATTAAAGTGCCCTAATTCCCACTTAACAGATGAGGAAACACGCACAGAGAAAGTAAGTCCCCCTTGTCATGAAAGAGAGCCAGGATCCAAACCCAGGTGTGTGCAGCCCATGGCAGGTGCCCCGCAGGCACTGCGTAGAGAAAGCAGACCCAGCTCTGGCGCCGGCCACTGCTCCACACTGCTGGGTCTCCCTCCTTGATACTACCCCTTCCTCCTCCCAGGCCTAGACGTGCTCATGGATATTTATTTTTCTTTCTTTTTTATTTTTAGAGACAGGGTCTCACTTTGTCACCCAGGCTGGAGTGCAATGGCATGATCATAGCTCACTGCAGCCTTGACCTCCTGGGCTCAAGTGATCCTCCCGTCTCAGGCCCCTCAGTAGTTGGGACTACAGGTGTGTGCCACTACACCCAGCTAATTAATTTTTAATTTTTTGTAGAGACGAGGTCTCATTATGTTGCCCAGGCTGGTCTCAAAATCCTGGACTCATGCAATCCTCCGACCGTGGCCTCTCAAAGCACTGGATTACAGGGGCAAGCCACCATGCTCGGCCACACGCTGGTATTTCTAAGGCTTTGGAAACAAGGCTTTTGTCACATAAGATACCCTGCTTCCAGCCCCAGCGAAGGCACAGACATGCCAAACAGGGAGGCAGAGTGAGCACAGCCTGGAACAGCAGTGGCAGTGGGCGGCGTCGGGCAGTACCTCTCCCTCCAGCTCGGTGCCCTACCTTGAGTGTTCGTCCTGGCTCAGAACTGTAGGGAGGAAAAAGAGAAACCTCAGAAAAGAGAAAAGCCATAGGACAGTCACCAGTTGAATGAAAGAAGGAAAACTCCGGAGAAGGGGGACTGGGGAAGAAGAGAGCCAGCCTGCCTGCCTTTACAGGAAGTGGGAGCCTGGGAATTCTCTTTGGGCCATGCCCGTGGACTAGGCCCTGTGCTTTGTGGAAGGCGGTGGCCCGGGCGTGGGAGGCCAGGTTCTGGCTGCAGCCCTGCCTCTTGCTGCCTGATCCTGGGCCAGTCCTTCCCCCTCACCCCAGCTTAGCTGTCCCTGCCAGAAAAGGAGTGGGGCAGACTAGATTTCTGAGTCTTTCCTGATCTGATATTCAAGAGGTCAATGATCCTGTTCTCAAAACCAAAGTCTGAATAACAAGGGGGCATTTCTTAAAGTTGGGTTCCTCAATCACAGGGCAGGCAGGAAACCTGAACACTCTCTATCCTCAGACTCAAGACAATGGATATTTGATGGGTCTTCTAAAAGCTGAAAGATAAGGAACACCAACTACATGCAACTCTTTCTCTTTTCTCTCTTTTTTTTAATAGAGACAGTGTCTTACTCTGTTACCCGGGCTGGAGTATCACAATTCACTTCAGCCTCGAACTCCTGGGCGGCTCAAGTGATCTCCCACCTCAGCCTCCCGAGTAGCTAGGACTATGGCGGGTGCCACCATGCCTAGCGAATTTATTTTATTTCTTTTTAGAGACAGGGTCTCGCTATGTTGCCTAGGCTGGTCTCGAACTCCTGGGCTTGAGCAATCCTCTAGCTTCAGCTTCCCAAGTAGCTGGGACTACAGGCACATGCTACTGTGCCTGGCTAATTTTTTTATTTTTTTGTAGAGATGGGCTCTCGCTATGTTTCCCAGGCCGGTCTCTAACTCCTGGCCTCAAGTAATCCTCCTGCCACAGCCTCCCCACATGCTGGCATTACAGGTGTGAGCCACCCACACTTGGCCTTATGCAACCCTTTAAAGCACAAAGCACAAAACACTGGGCCTCTGAGGATCATCCACTAGTGTATTCTTGGTTAATGTGAATCACATACCCAGAGTCTCCATGTAGCTGAGCTCACTGATCAAGAAAATTCTTGAATATGTAAATTCAGGGGCACACTCAGTCTCCTAGTGAGTCCATGATTACAATCAACTCTCAGGCTGTCTGAAGCTACCTGGCTGATCTAGCGTTCTCTCTCTCTCTCTCTTTTTTTTTTTTTTTGATTCTTTTTCCTTTTCTTTCTTTTTTTATTTTTTTTTCCTTTAAGATGGTGTTTTACTCCTTCACCCAGGTTGGAGTGCAGTGGCATGATCTCAGCTCACTGCAACCTCCACCTCCTGGGCCCAAGCGATCCTCCCACCTCAGCCTCCAGAGTAGATGGGAACACAGGCGTGCGCCACCACAAATCTTTCTGACCCCTGTGCTGCGCCACCAGGGCTTGCATAGTCGATTCTGGCAGTATGGGTGGAAAGAAGAGGAAGACGCCTGGCTGGGGGCAGGCAGGGTAGAAAAGCAATCAGATGGAAGCATTTTCTCTGCTGTGTGGAGGGCTGAGAGCTTTCTAATCATCTAGCTGCATTTGCATTGGAAATGCAATTTTTTAATTTATTTTAACCCAAAAGAATCTCTGATTTCAGACTAAATAAAGGAAAAGATTCAGGAACTGGTTATGTGGGTTTTCGGTCTTTGCTGAATGAAAGGGAAGTGAATCAGGTTTCACGTCCTTTTCCTTTGTCCTTCTAACAGCCCTAGTCAAGAGGACTAGTTGGGCTATTTGAAGAGAGGTGAGATAACATGCCCAAAGTCACACAGCTAGAAAGAGGCAGAGCCAACAGCCAAACAGGTCAGTCAGACTTCAAAGCTTGGGTGGTGGCCACTCTTCAACACTGCTCACTGAGAGTTTTTCTCTCAAAAGCTTCCTGATTTCTTTTTCTTTTTTCTTTCTCCATCTGCCCTCACCCACTAGTTCCTTGATTGAGTAGCACGAGAGTTCTCAAGGTTATATGTCTATATGTACAGTCTCGTGTCGCTTAATGATGAGGATACACTCTGAGAAATGCATCATTAGGTGATTTCTTCCCCCCCTCCTTTTTTTTTTTTTTGACAATGGAGTCTCACTCTGTCGCCCAGGCTGGAATGCAGTGGCCCAATCTCGACTCACTGCAAGCTCCGCCTCCCAGGTTCACGCCATTCTCCTACCTCAGCCTCCCGAGTAGCTGGGACTACAGGTGCCCGCCACCACACCCAGCTAATTTTTTGTATTTTTAGTAGTGACGGGGTTTCACTGTGTTAGCCAGGATGGTCTCAAACTCCTGACCTTGTGATCCGCTAGTTGATTTCATTGTTGTGCTAACATTATAGAGTGGACGTAGACAAATCTAGGTGATTTAGCCTACTACACACCCGGCTAGATGGTGTAGTCTATTGCTCCGAGGTTGCATACCTATGCACCTGTTACTGTACTGAATACCATAGGTGGCTGTCACATAATGGCATTTGTGTACCTAAACACATGTAAACATAGATAAGGTAGCGTGTTGTGCTATGATGTTACAACGGCTATGAAGTCACTATGTGATAGGGATTTTCCTGCTCCATTGTAATCTTACGGGACCACCACATATGCAGCCCATTATTATACGGCATCTGACTGTACATATGTGGTTGTGAGTGGCAGAGTTTGGGGCAGGACGAACCCTGGTTGTATGGCTCCCTTTAGGGACAGTGGGGGCTACGGGTGCACTCCACAGTCACAGGCCTCCCAGTGGGACAGTTCCTGTCACAACCCTTTAGAGAGGAGGCTGCGGGTCATAGCAGGCAACACACCTCACATAAAGTTCCTACCCCCTGTGACACCACTGGTCCCTGTGGGATGGGGAAGCCTAGGGAAAGATAGGGACAGAGAAGGGGAAAGAAGGGGAGGAAAGGGGGAGCAGGGATGGTGGCAGTAGCTAGAAGTGGCAGCAGAGCAGACAGTCCAGACATGGACTGGAGCTCCGCAGACATGAGCTCCAGCCCAACTCCAGCTCCCCCACTTCTTCAGCACATGACCCTGGGCAAGCTCCTTAACCTTTCTCAGCCTCAGCATTCACATCTGTAAAGGGGGAGCACACCAGTGGCTGCCTCACCTCACAGGGCTGGCACGAGGACTAAATGCGGCGAAGCACCGAGGGCAGTGCCTGGCACACAGGAAACACCCTATAAATTCTACAGATGGGAGCGGTGACTATTGCCAGTTGCAGGTCATCTGTATGGTGTGCGGGCACAGGACTGTGCGGGGAGGGTTGTGCTGGCTCCTTAGGGCTCTCGGGTGCACTGGGATGAAACTAAGGGAGGCTGACCAGGCCAGGCCCCACACTCAGCTAGTCTTGGGCTTTCATCTCTCATTTGATAATCTAGAGGCACCTTCACGTTGCAGTAGCCCAGGATACCAGGGCTACTGGTTAATGGGTCAATCAAGGCCCAGGCAAACTGCACTGGGCCTTGTGGTGAAGAAAGTGAAGAAGCGTAGAGTAATATTCCCATCAAGATGTGTTTCTAATGTAAATATTCTAGGATGAAGGGATATCCCCCACTTCACCTAGCAAACCTTAGGGGTGGAGAGCACCCCTTCCCTGAGGGCCGGGGCAGAGGACCCGCAGGACCGGCAGGCCCTGGAGGGAAGGCCCCTACCTTCAGGTGCTCGATCTTCTCCTGCTGGCTCAGAAAGTCCCTGTCGGCAGCGTCGGGGGGCAAAGGAGACTGGTCAGGGGGGTGCGTGAAGTCCTGGGTGACCTTCTCAGAGAGCTTGCAGATGACCTGCTGCTTGGCGTAGTTCTTGTCCATAAGCAGCTGCACGTGCTGCTGTAGCTCCTGCACCTCCTGCTCCCGCAGGCTCGCTGTGTGCGCCAGGCTCTCCCGCTCCTGCTCCAGAGCCTCCACCCGCCGGCCCAGCTCCGCGATCTGCCGCACTTTGTGCCGCACCAGCTCCAGCCGGTCCTTGTCCTCAGCCGCCGCCAGGTATGCGCTGGACGCCCTCTTCTCCTGCTGGGCGGCCTCCAGTGCCTTGTGCAGGATCTTCACCAGCTCCTGGGCAGGAAGAGGGAAGCATCTTGTGAGCTCAGGGAGGGCCTGCTGGGCGCCAGGGCGGGGCATATGTTATCAGTAGTTCTCCTAACCACCCTGAGAGGTACCCAGCAGCATCCCTGCGGCATCTCATCCTGACACTTTCTCCTTCTCTGTTCAAGTGAGTGTTAGCTGGGCACATGGTTCCCCAGCTTCAAACTGCATCTCCCAGCCAAGCCATGGTGAGGTGTAGCCCAGTGTACCCCACTGTTCTGCCTAAATGGGAAATGAAAAGTGAGATGGGCAGCTTCTGGGTCCTACCTTTAAAACCAGTAGACACATGCTCCCCTGGTCCAGTTCTCTTTGCTTCTGGCTGGGAAGTGGCAGGAACTAGCATGGCCGCCTCAGAACCACAGCAGAAGGTACGTGTTGAGAAAGGGCTGCTCGCCAGCTCAGAGTTGCTCACTTACCTCTGGGTTCTTTAATGTGAGTGAGAAACTTCTCACTCGTTTTGGGCCACAGTGCTTTGAACCGTTTTTTTTTTTTTTTAAAGACAGCATCTCACTCTGTTACCCAGCCTGGAGTGCAGTGGTACGGACATGGCTCACTGTAGCCTCAATCTCCTGGGCTCAGCTGATCCTCCCACCTTAGCCTCTCAAGTAGCTGGGACCACAGGAACATGCCAACACACCAGGCTAATATTTGTATTTTTTTTTTTGTAGAGATGGGGTTTTGCCATGTTGCCAGGCTGGTCTCAAACTCCTGGACTCAAATGATCTGCCCACCTTGGTCTCCCAAAGTGCTGGGATTACAGGTGTGAGTCACCATGCCCAGTGGAGATGTTTTTGTTACAGCAGCTGAACCCATACCCTGACATATACATATCTATTTCAGGGATGAACAAACTGAGGCCCAGCAGAGAGTAAAGTGGAATTCAGTCTCAACTGGCCAGATTCCAAAGCCTGTGCTCAGTCACTAAGAAAACCAGGGGTGGCAGCTATGTGGCATTACTTTTCCCTCATCATCCCTGTGGCAGACATTATTAGTTCATCTCCCATACTTCTTCCTGCACAGCCTAGTTGAGGCCTCAGAATCCTTCTCAATATAGCATCTAGTCACTACCAAGCAAGTTGAGGCAGCATTAAAGAAGAAATACACTGGCAATCCCCATGTAAAGCCACACACAGAGGGCCTCATTCAACCCATTTGTGCCTAGTTCCCTCCAGCCCACCAGCTGATGCCTGCAAAGCTGGTGGAAGGAACTCTAGAAATTTCAGAAACAACAGAGCTTGATTTATTCCTCAGCAGGGTCAACTGATTCACACAGGAACTCAAGGTCTGCTCAGCTCCCTGTGCCTTTAAGCCTGTAATGTCCCCAGGGAGGGCCATGCCTGGACTCAGGCCTATCTGTCCTAAAGCAGGGATATGAATTCATTCTGGGCCAGGATCAAGACATCAGCAGCCAGGCCCACGTGGACCTCATACCAGGTAGGTATGACTTTCAAGCAACACTGCCCTGCTCTGTGCTTCTCATTTGGAAAAACATGGTTTCCTAGAGACATGTCAACTATACCACACCAAAGTATTAAAACAAATGGATTGGCTGCATAGGCTTATTTGCTAAGAACAATTCTATATTAGAGGAGAACTGCCAGAAACCATGACTTTTTTGGAGAAGCTAATGACAAGACCACCTTAGCCTGCATCTTCTGAAACCTTAGGACTAGTGACCATCCTTTCTCAGGTTCTCTTTTCCTTTCACATGCCCATCCATCTGTCCAACCTTTACCGAGCACCACTGGGTGCCAGGCCAGGCCCTGAGCCAGGTGCTGTGACCCAGAGAGGGACTGGTGAGAGTTCCCACCTCCAAGGACTACAAAGGCTGGTGGGAATGAACGCGACCCACCTCAGTGGAATGATCTACTGCAAGTCAGGGGAACAAGGGTGTTTGTGGGAAAGGAAATGACTTCTGTCTGGGGTGAAGGTTGGGGGGAATACCAGTCCACAGCATTTAAATGAAACCGTGAAGAATGAGAAGGGCCAGAGATGGCCAAGCAGCAGGTGGGAGATGAGGGTAGGGACAGCCCTCTGAATGTGGCCAAGCCACAGCCCCAGTAAAGAGCTGGAGGAAGGAAAGAACTACCATGGAGCTGTGGGAGCCCTGGGGTGTGGCAGGAAGGTGGGGTGAGGACAGCACAGTGATTGCAAACCAAAAGGGAATGTTTGGAATGTTCAGAATGAAGAAGTCAGCTTCTCAGGGCTCAGTGGAGAGAGATTAACATTCCTGTGGCTCCAGGATAACTGGGAGCCTAGGCCATTTTCTGCTTCAGCTGAGACTTGGAGATTACCTTGGATGACTGCCCAGTAAAATAACCAACAGACATCATTGTTCAGACTTGCCCTAGGAGCAGAACCAGGTGGGTATCTTTCCCTCAGTTTTGGGGAGTTGACTCCAAAGCTCATTTCATTACATCTAGCTGTCTCCTTATTGCATTTGGCTCCCTGAATCTAAGACCAAGACAACAGCCCAGGAGGCTCTCCTCCAACCCCCAGAATTCTTGTACCAGAATAAAATAGGCTTGAAAGAAAGGAACCAGGGCAGAGGGAGGGAGCCTCAGTAGGACCTGTAAGATGAGGAGTGAGAATATCATGAATTCAGGAAACCTAAAGTCTGGATTATAAGCAATGTCTTAGGACCAATTCTTAAAAATAGAGGGGTTGATGAAATGAAGCTTTTTTTTTTTTTTTTTTTTTTTTTATACGGAGTCTCGCTCTGTCGCCCAGGCTGGACTGCAGTGGTGCAATCACGGCTCACTGCAGCCTCAACCTCCTGGGCTCAAGTGATTCTCTTGCCTCAGTCTCCCTGGAAGCTGGGAGGCATGCATCACAATGCCCAGCTAATTAGTTTATTTTCTGTAGAAACAGGGTCTCCCTACATTGTTTGGGGTGGTCTTGAACTCTTAGGCTCAAGAGATCCTCCCACCTCAGCCTCCCAAACTGTTGGCATTATAGGCATGAGCCACCATGCGCGGCCCAAGTAGCACTTTTAATATCTCTCAATCGAGTTGTTTGGTTCATCTCAGATTTTTATACCTGGTCTTAAGTTGTTATTTTATTTAAATGTTTAAAAGTCAATAAATCATCTTTAAAAAATAATCCTTTATCTTTTTAGAGCATTGCTACTTTCATCAGTGGTGGGCCCTACAGGGGTCAGATGAAGGGGCATGGGCTTTGGAGTTCACAGGCCTTGGTTCCCATTCTGGATCCGTGGGGTGTATCTAATGAGGTGACTCTCAGGAGGGTGGCTTGGGGGCCTCTTCAGTGAACCTCTGCTTTCTCATGAATGGGGGCTAACGGTTCCTCCTCCACTCAGAACTGCCTCTAGCATGAGAGAGAAAGTGCCAAGTGTCCCTCCCCAAGCTGACATGCCCAAGGTACCCCCCAGCCCTCTTTCATGTCCTCTGAAGTTTTTGGCTGGAGTTCTAGGAAAGTAAGAGGCTGCATGTTGCCCCATCAAGTTTGCTAAAAAATTACGTTCCTTTACCCAGTAATCCTGATTGAACTAAGGTGGCCCCAGAGGGCCGCAGGCAGGGTTCCAGAGGGGTTCATCATTCCCAGCCGCCAACAGATGGCCAACATCACCACAGACAACAGCCTTCCATCTGCCAGAGCAGACGGTCTTCAGGCTGGGTGTAGTTCTGTCAACTCCAAGGGTCAGTCCCCGGCCAGTCAGCCATCTGGTGCTATCTCCTAGAGCCCAAACCTCTTGTGGGGCCAGTGCTGCAGGTGCGGGGACAGATAATGGCTTAATGGGTATTGGAGTCGCCCCGTGGTTTGATATGACACCAGGGGGTACACAGGGAGTGCATTCATTTTTTTCTCAAGAGCAGTTTTGGTGCTTGTGTCTCATACTGGGACTCACCAAGAGATTATGGAGGAGAGGAGGCAGCCCAGCCTCTAGACCTGGAGAAGGAGGTTAGAACCCCAATCCTGGCTTTTCCAGCTGCCTGAGCATGGGCGAGTCACCCAACTCCTCTGAGCTCCTCAAATGCTGGTTCAGCCTCTGGGAGACCCTGAGCATGCAGACGCTCTGAGAACCTCAGTTTCCTTTTCAGAGAAAGGGGATGACAACTATTGTAAGGACAGAGAAAACACATGGGAAGGCTCAGCACAGTCCTGGGGCTGCGCTTCATACCAGCAGTTTCCGTGTTCACATCTTCTCTTACTAGAGAAGTGAGGTGCCCTACTAGACGGTGAGGTGCCCAAGGGCAGGGATTTGTCCCCAGTGTGCTCTCAAGAGCATCTCACAGTGTTTGAGATGGAAAGTCCTAAAGAGTCACTAAAGCCATTGGCAATGGCCAGGTGAGCCAGGATAAGATGCCGAATTCCCATGTCATCCTGAAGCTTGAGGCAGACAGGAGGTGCCTTCCCACTAAAGAAACGCAGGAAGGTACCTCGCAGGGGCAGCTCCTGGGAGTCCAGGTGCCTATCTTCCCAGCTGATGGATGGGACTCTAATGAGGGTCTCAGATGCACAGCGGCTCTCCCAGCAGCATTCTGAGTGCCTGGGGGCACCACTGGGCACCCAGAAGTTGTGCTGGCTTTTTCTGTCTCACCTCTTTGGTTTCAGTATCTGGGCTATAGTTGAAACCCTAGAGGACAGGACTGCCGTTCCTCCCTTCCTAATGTGGAATAAAGACCGAAGTTCCCTGATCACTGCGATGGCCCCACGGCACATTTTCTGGAGGCACTGATGGGCTCTCACTTCCCGCCTGTCTCAGAGCCCCTCAGCAGGGCACCTCGCTGCTTGTAGGGCAGGAAGAGATAGACATGGAGGGTAAGGAGGGCTGCAGTAATTGCCAGAACAACCAGAGCCTGCATCTGTTGGGCAGCTGCTGGGTGCCAGGTACTGGGCTTTATGAATCTGGGCACAGCTCTCTCCAGTAAACATGGCTGTAACTGCATTTACAGAAGAGGAAACTGAGGCTTAGAGAGGTTAAGAAACTTCTTAGGGCCAGAATTTGAGCCTGTGCTGTCTTATTTAAAGGCCGGTGCTTTGAATCATCCTGAAGACTGAAGTGCATTTGTGGAATGGGTTGAAGAACACACAAATCCACTCATATTGCACAATAAATAGATAAACTAAATAAATCACAACTCATTCTCCTTTTGACCGTCTGTCCCAGGACACAAAGTTGAGGTCTGGTGGAAGGTTACCTGGTGAAAAAAAAATCCAGATTCTTCAATACGTCAACAACTTCCTCCTGACAATTTCCCTCTGAATATATGGGAGTTGTCAATAGCCTGGGCAACCCTTATTAATCGCCAAGAATCTTGCCTTTATTTTTTGAAGAATGACGAGGCCCCCAGAGATGCAGAGCAATCAGGGGCAAACTTTCATGAAATCTAGGTCTCCCGGGGCCTTTCTACTTCATCTGACAATTTGTAATGTATTAGAAAGAAAGACTGTGTCAAGGGAGGTTGCCCATATATTCAGGATTTCTTTTTCTTTCCAGGTTTGGGTTTGGGATTTAAGCTCTACCAGTCCAGGGATCGAGTAGCTGCTATGGCTCTGTTTCACGCCCTCTCAGCTCTCAGGAGTGTCCAGCAGCCTCACAACAGGAGCACCATGATGACAGGAGGAAAAGACAGCTGGGCTGCTAAGCAGCAGCAGACGGGACTTCACGTGGTATAACTACACATTTGGGTGCTTTGTTTAATGTCTGTCTCTGCCATGAAATGCAAGCACTATAAGGGCAGAGCCTGTGCCTTTTGCTCATTGTTCTTTCCCAGCACCTGGAACACTACCTGCACATAACAGGCCCTTAATAAAGATTTGGTGAATAAACACATGAGTTAAGAACATATGAATAAATGAGCCCCCTCCTTTGAGAACGCTAATCTCTGATCACCAGTTGCTTCATTAAATGTAACTCCTGGCCGGGCACGGTGGCTCACGCCTGTAATCCCAGCACTTTGGGAGGCTGAGGCGGGCAGATCACTTGAGGTCAGGAGTTCGAAACCAGCCTTGCAACATGGTGAAACCTAGTCCTCTACTAAAAATACAAAACAGCTGGGCATGGTGGCAGGCACCTGTAATCCCAGCTACTTGGGAGGCTGAGGCAGGATAATTGCTTGAACCCAGGAGGTGGAGGTTGCAGTGAGCCAAGACTGCACCATTGCACTCCAGCCTGGATGACAGAGTGAGACTCCATCTCAAAAAAAAAAAAAAAAAAGTAACTCCTGACATACCAGGAATGAAGCCTCTGCCAGTTCCCTTGAGATCTGCTGATAGTGGTCACTGCTTAGGGGCAGAAAAGGCAGACGAGGGGCCAAACCAGGTATAGGGAGAGCATTTTTTCTAGATTTCTTCCCCCCAAAACAGGGCAGAAAAGAAAAGAAATGTACAAGTGATAAGAAATATTCAGAAGGTAATAGGGCATAAGCCCCACCTCCCCAGCCTAAGTCCTCTGGAGTCAGGACTGGGAAACAAAGCAGAAAGGGCCTCCAAGCAGCCAAAGTTCAAACACAAAAGCTGAGGCCTTCCTCTGGTGGAAAAGCAGTCTAGGCCCTCAGTGGAACCCACCACTGCCACCACAGGCCCTACCAGGCCCCACCAGGCCCCACCCTTGGGATTTATGTAACTGCCTTAGTCACTTTTATCACTCTAAAGAGGAGCTCCCACCCGGAGCTGAAACCCCCTCACATCCCCACCCTGGGACTCTCATTACTTCATAAGGTAGCCCCTGGCTTTTAATACCATTTGCTCTCTGGGATGTAGGATTTTGGAGTAGTTTTAATGTCTGTGTGTGTGAGATCTGTTTTCTACAATGACTATATAGCTCTTCCCTTTTGTAACTCTCATAATTCACTTCTTACCATATTAAGCCCAGATATTCCTGTCACTGTTCTGTGTTGGTCCTGGCTTAGCACTGGGCACATACATGCTGCTTGTTTGCTTCCTCCTGTGACAGTCTCGTGACAGTCATTCAGATATCTGTGCCCAGATATCAGCTGCCAGGTCAAAGCCTCTCCCTAGTTCTATCGACAGCTTCTCCCATGACCCTAGATCCAGATCACCTGCCTCTAAATATTGTCATTTTCTGGGTAGGGGGTGAGACGATGCATGCCCTCCAGGAGGGGTCCAAGAGACAGTTATTAGAGTAGATCTCCAGAGATACCTGCCCTTGATGCCCTTTTGTGACTTGCTTTGAGTGACATTAGGTTCTTGAGTAATCAACAGCATATTTCAACCTTCCGCAGTTTGGCCTTTAAACACCAGAGCTAGTGCCTGCTGGCCTTTAAAGACCACACCTGCTGGTGCCCAGCAGGGCTACTGCATCCCATCTAGTTTGTTCAAAAGGCTCCAGGAACTGGAGGGGTCCACTGGAACCTGGGCCTCTCTGGGACCAGACCTCACCTTCTGAGACTTCAGCTCCTTAGTGAGCATCAGAACCTGTTGCTCCAAGGCTGCCACTTTCTCCTGGGCAGTTCGGTTCCATGTGATTCCTTCAGAAAAGAATGGGAAGGTGTTGTTCTGGCGCTTGGCTTTCTGAACAAAACTGATCGTCAGAGAAGACTTGGGTCCTGGCTTTGGAGAATCCTCTGGCTCTCTCCCTGCTCAAGAGGAGAAACGCAGAAGTTATGATGGATGACATCAGCAGTTCTCAAACCTGAGCTTGCTTTAGAAGCACCTAGAGGGCTTGTTCAAATGCGGATGGTTGCGCCCTAATTTCGGAGCTCTGAATTTAATAGGTCTGGGGCAGGGCTTGAGAATTTGCACTTCTAAAAAGTTCCTGGGTGATGCTGACACAGCTTGTCCGGGGGTTAGACTGTGAGAACCACTGGCCTACATAAACGTTATTGCACTGTGCTGGCCCATCTGCTAAACTGTGCCTGTCTCCTTCCTTCAGATCCCACCCAGCCTGGATGGGTCTCTCATGCCACCCTGCTGGTGTTTGCCAAGTGACTTTCTCCTTGGGCACAAGCCCTGGCAGGATGTTCTGTTCCTTATTTCAGGATCCCACCTCTATGTGCTAGGAGATTTTCAAAGCACACAAATCTGTCTGATGATAGGTACACAGAATGAATGCCTGTACCCTGCATTCTTGCTCCAGAGAATAGCTCAAACATTTAACTTGATTCTTCTTATTCCAAGCTAAGTTAAGAGACATATTCCCCCCACAGCTGATTGTCTCAAGGATGCATAGCCCTTTTATCTCCTGGGTGACAACCTATGGTTCACAGGCCAAATCCAGCCCACAGCCTGCTTTTATAAATAAAGCTTTATTAGAACACAGCCATGCCCATTTGTTTATGTGCTGTCTATTGCTGTGTTTACTCCTCAAAGGCAGAACTGAGTGCTTAAAACAGAAACCCCATGGCCCACAAAGCCTCAAATCGTTACTATCTGGCTCTTTACAAAAAATGTTTGCCACCCACTGTTTTCAAGTCATTAAAATTTTATTCTTACATCAAACCCAACATCAGAGAATCATTCCCTTGGGTTGCCTTGTCCTGCCCTGACCCAGCTGTGCTTCTGGTCTCTGCCATCAGCCTGCATCAAGGGACATTTAATGACCTGATTATGTGGCCAAGGGTCCTTGAGAAGCTTGTTCACATGGGATATATACATCATGCCTATTATGAGTCCTCAGCAGAAGAAATTCCCTTCAGCCCTAGGAACTTCCAAGAAAAGCTTTGCTTCTTATAAGAAAATATGTTTTTAGTCTTATGGATACTGGAAATAATCTAGCTGCTTGCATTTCCCTCTTTGCCTTGGCTGCTGAGCTTAAAGCCACATTTACTGCCTACCGTCAGATATTTTGTAGGATCATAAATTGATCCTATCTAAATCTCCTAACCCAAATCACTCATTTGTATGAGTATGCATTTTAGTAAACTATTACCTATTTTTTGGGACTAAAGTGTTAAAGGTATTGAAAATAAGAATGTGGTATGGGATCCCAGGATAGGGGACACACAGGGCTTTGGGGATAGGCCAAATGACATAGCATGAGACCAGGCCAAGGGCTGGCCAAACAGTCTTGAACAGATAACGAGTTACTCTAGTAGGTGACAGGAACCAGACACTGAGTGCAAAAACAGTACCTAGATTGCCCAGGCGCAGTGGCTCACGCCTGTAATCCTAGCACTTTGGGAGGCCGAGGCGGGTAGATCACGTGAAGTCAGGAGTTTGAGACCACCCTGGCCAACATCGTGAAACCTCATTTTTACTAAAAATACAAAAATTAGCCAGAAATCGCTTGAACCCAGGAGGCAGAGGCTGTAGTGAGCCGAGATCATGCCAGTGCACTCCAGCCTGGGCAACAGAGCGAGACTCTGACTCAAAACAAACAAAACAACAGTGCCTTGCTGAGTGCAAAACCAGAACAGTCTTGTTCCAGATCGAAGAGAAATCAGGCTACAATGGGTACAAGGCAGCCCACAGAGCTCAGAAATATGTAGTACCTCTTTCTCCTTCCTGTTATGGGGTCTAGGGGAGCAGGGAGGCTCCCTGTAGCACTTGCTGCCCTTTGATACACGACTGTGCATCAACTCTGAGGAAAGGCAGGGCAGGCCTCACAGTGCCCAGTTTATAATTAGAGAAAATGAAGCCTAAGACAGTGGCGTTCAATCAGTGCCCTGGATTTCATGGGAGTGCCTCAAGGACTGACCGGGAGGGGAAGGTGGAGTAAGAGGAGCAGAGGAGGAGTCCAGACTCCCACTCAGGCCTCAACTCTGCTTTTATCTGCTTTATATATTAGATTTTGTTCTGTCACTCACTCTGTGGCCGTGAGCAAGTCACTCCACCCTTCCATGCCTCACTTTCCTTATTTATTGAATGAGGATAACAACAATACACACAGTTCCAGTTGCTGTAAGAATTAAATAGGTCAATGTAGGTAAAGTGCTTGGTACACACGGATAAAACTTGAAAAGATTCTGCTAAGTCAAAGAAGCCAGTCACAGCATGGTATATTCCATGGTATATTCTATTCACAGCAGATCTCCAGAACAGGCACATCCATAGAGAAAGAAAGGTTGTGGCCACCTAGCGTTATGGGGCAGTGGGGATTATGGTTGATGACTAAGAGTACAGGTTTCTTTTTGGGGTAATGAAAATGTTCTAAAATTGATTATAGTGACGGTTGCATAATTCTGTGGATATACAGAAAGCCACTGAATTACACATTTTAAATGGGTGAATTGTACAGTATATGAATATATCTTAATAAAGTTATTACCAAAAAAAAAAAAATGCTTACTGCAGCACTGGCACAAAGTAACTGCTAGCGTTATAATGATGATGATTGATCCGATATAGCACTGGTCTTCCCTTGGACTGCTTCTTATGCTCTCTGGGGCTTTAACAGGCACTGACTCCTCCAAAGGGTGCTTTTTCTTTTCTTCTTCTTCTTTTTTTTTTTTTTGAGACAGCGTCTCACTCTGTCACCCAGGCATGATCATGACTCGCTGCAGCCTCGACCTCCCTGGCTCAAGTGATCCTCCCACCTGAGCACCCCAAGTAGCTGGGACTACAGGCTCGCACCACGATCAGCTAATTTTTTAATTTTTTTTTTGTAAAGACAGGGTCTCCCTGTGTTGCCCAGGCTCGCCTTGAACTCCTGGGCTCCAGCAATCCTCCAGCCTTGGCCTCCCAAAGTGCTGGGATTACAAGCATGAGCCATCATGCCCAGCCTTATTTTAACTTTTTACTCTGAAAAAATTATAGACTCATAGGAAGTTGCAAAGACAGTGCAGACATGTCTCAAGTACTCTTCACTAAGCTTCCCCCGATGGTGACATCTTACACAGCTATAGTACACTATCAATTCTAGGAAACCGGTGTTGGTACAACATGTGTGCGTAGGTCTATGTCATTTTATCACACGTGTACATTTGTTTTTGGTTATGTTTGAGACAGAGTCTCACTCTGTCACCCAGGTTGGAGTGCCGTGGTGCAGTCTCGACTCACTGCAACCACTGCCTCCCAGGTTCAAGTGGTTCTCCTGCCTCAGCCTCCTGAGTAACTGGAATTATAGGCACTGGCCACCATGCCCAGCTAACTTTTGTATTTTTAGTAGAGTGGTGGTATTAAGAGGTGGGGCCCTTGGGAGGTGATCAGATTTAATGTCATGAGGGTGGAGCCCCTGATAAAATCAGTACCCTTAGAAGAAGCAGCAGAGACCAGAGCTCTTTCAGCCACGTGAGCACACAGTGAGAAGGCGGCCATGTGCAAACCAGGAAGGGAGCCCTCACCAGACACTGAATCTGCCGGCACCTTGATCTTGGACCTCCCAGCCTCCACACAACTGTGAGAAATAAATGTCTGTTATTTAAACCACACAGTCTATGGTGTTTCAGTAAGTAGCCCAAGCCAACTAAGACACACACAAACACACAAATGCTGGTTCGCTGGAAGGAAAGAAGGCACTTGTGCCAGCCGTGAGGAGCTGGTCCCTGAAGGCAGCTCAGCCCTGGACAGAGGCTCACCTGGGGTGGTGGGGTCAGAGGCCAAGGGCTGCTCCTCCCTCTGAGGCTCCCCACTCTGTGGAGAATCTTCCCCTGGAGGTTCATGGCCTGTTGCCTGGGCCTGCTTGTTGCCACGGATGTTGTGCATTGTGTTTCTGAAAGGAGATGAGAACAGAGGAGCATGAGGCTGAACCCTGCCTTTCTGCCCCTCTGTCCTTCCCGCCGCCACTGCTGGAGCTCAGGTCTCATCCCTACACCCTATCATCCCGACTGGTCTCCCAGACTCCAGGCACCCTACATGATGCATCCCCACGCATGACACTCCCAATCTCCTTTACCTATCTCTTTCGCATTCTCATCTTCCACACACTATGTGGCTTGTTAGTAATATAAGCTTGACTTCCTCAACCCCCAACCCTGCAGCTGGAATATAAATGCCATGAGGCAGAGGTATTGTCTGTTTTGTTAACTGATGCACCTAGAAAGCCTAAACAGTGCCCAAAATATAGAAGGTGCTTAGTACGGGTGTGTTGGATGAATGCTGAATGGACTTGTTGCACTAACTTTCCCAAAACCTTCATCTGGTTTCATCACTATCTGGCTCAAAAACCATCAGTGGCTCCCGACTTCTGCTGAGATAAGTTGCAAACACCTCCTGACATCTTTTCCTGCTTGCTCTCTTTCCCTGCTCAGATCTGTCCTCTGTGCAGCCTTCACTGACCATCTCATGGCCTCCAAGGGGCTTAGTGCACTTCACAGCTGGGTCACCCTTTGGCCAAGTACTTGTCTAGGCTGAAGCCTCTTGATGTCATTTCTTTATGAACTGGGTACTAACCTACCTGCATGTTTGCTGGTGCCCAATACTGGGTTGTATGTGCCAGAGCCGGGCTCAATACATCTTTGGTTTATAGAAAGGAACTAGATAGTACCAAAGGCTGACCTGAGATCACAGACCACAGAGAAGTTCATAATGAGCTGGATGTAAAAACAGTTCAAGGAGTTTATTCTCCCTTGCAAAGAGATAAGATTAATAACAGGGAAGGGAAAATGATGAAAGGAGTTCACTAGGTCAGTGTATTCCAAACTGAAGGTTTGGCCTCATTGTTAGATTGTAAAACCAGTTTAGTGTCATGACCAGCATTTAAAAAATGAAATAGAAACTACCAGGGTTGCTGCCACCTGCCTGTGTCCATCTGTGTTGCATCGGGGTCCCAAGGAGCTGTTGGGTGGTCCAGGCTGAGGCTGGCTTGTGTGGAAGTCATCCTCGCCTCTGCTTGCTAGCCCTCCCATTCATCCTCTCTCCCAGTGGTCGTCATGCTGGTGTGCATCCCCTGCCTGCTGTGCTAGTTCAGTTTGCTCTTTTGGAAGCAGGAGATAGAACTGATGCTTGCAGGGCTGCAGGACTTGGGCCAACACCACTTTCGTGAATATCACTGCGTCAGGTCAATTTAGTGAAAACATGATACCCACAGTGAGCTTCGACATGAGGAAAGTAACTAAAGGTAACATCACAGTAAAGATCTGGGACATGGCTGGGCGCGGTGGCTCACGCCTGTAATCCCAGCACTTTGGGAGGCCCAGATGGGTGGATCACGAGGTCAGGAGTTCAAGACCAGCCTGGCCAAGATGGTGAAACCCCATCTCTACTAAAAATATAAAAAATTACTGGGCGTGGTGGCATGCGCCTGTAGTCCCAGCTACTCAGGAGGTTGAGGCAGAGAAGCTCTTGAACCTGGGAGGCGGAGGTTGCAGTGAGCCAAGATTGCACTACTGCACTGCAGCCTGGGTGACAGAGTGAGACTCCATCTCAAAAAAAAAAAAAAAAAAAATCTGGGACATGGGAGGACAACCCCAGTTTTGGAGCATGTAGGAACTGTATTGCAGAGAAGTCAATGCTATTGTTTACATAACAGGTGCTGCAGATTGTGAAAAGATAGAAGCCTTGAGAAATGAGCTACACAATCTAGATAAACCACAGTTACAAGGAATTCCAGTGCTAGTACTTGGAAACAAGAGAGAGAGATCTTCCTAATGCCTTGGATGAGAAACAGCTAATTGAAAAAATGAATGTCTGCTATTCAGGATAAAGAAATGTGCTACTACTCAATTTTTTGCAAACAAAAGGATAACGTAGGTATCAGACTTCAATGATTTACTCAACATTCAAAATCTAGAAGCTGAAGCATCTCCTGAAGTCTTCCAGTCCTTCTCAGCTATAATCCTAGACTTACTGTCTGTTTCTCTAAAGTACTTCCCAAAATACGGTCCTCTCTAACCCCAAGAAATTGTCTTTTTCAGAGTTTATTTCTCATGTGCATTGCTGAAGATGTGTATCCCTAATTCATCATAAGAATCAGCGAGTTGTCAGCCAGGCACGGTGGCTCACGCCTGTAATCCCAGCACTTTGGGAGGCCGAGGCGGGCAGATCATGAGGTCAAGAGTTTGAGACCATCCTGGCTAACACAGTGAAACCCTGTCTCTACCTAAAATACAAAAAAATTAGCCAGGTGTGGTTGTGGGAGCCTGTAGTTCCAGCTACTCAGGAGGCTGAGGCAGGAGAATGGCGTGAACCCGGGAGGCAGAGCTTGCAGTGAGCCGAGATCGCACCACTGCACTCCAGCCTGGGCAACAGAGCTAGACTCTGTCTCAAAAAAAAAAAAAAAAAAAAATAGAATTAGCGAGTTGTCATGATCAAGTCAGCACATATAAAACACACACATATCTTACACATACTTGTCTTAAACTATATAGAGCTTTTAAAACTTTTATTAAAAACACACACACACACACACTTTTGACCATCTTAAGAAGATTGCATATTTCCATCCTGGTCTTTCTAGGCCAGATTTTATTGTTGTAGTCTGAGATGGAGTCTCACTCTGTCACCCAGGCTGGAGTGCAATGGCACGATCTCGGCTCACTGCAACCTCCACCTCCTAGGTTCAAGCAATTCTCCTGCCTCAGCCTCCCGAGTAGCTGGGATTACAGGTGCCCGCCACCACACACGGCTAATTTTGTATTTTTAGTAGAGACAGGGTTTTGCCATGTTGGTCAGGCTGGTCTGAAACTCCTGACCTCAGGTGGTCCACCCGCCTCAGCTTCCCAAAGTTCTGGGATTACATGCGTGAGCCACCACTCCCGGTCTGGGCCAGATTTTTATATTGATTTTCAGTAAATGTTTATCTGTAATATTTCATTATAGAGTCTAGTAGCTTGATACTTATACTGACTTGATACAGCATGAAGTTTCTAGTGCCACACATGGTTTTTAGAAAACCTTTAAGCCTGGCTCATGTTGGATATAAACATAATGTTTATCTTATCTCACAAATGTATGTGAAATGTATAATTACACCTTAGGATTCCGAAAATAGTCTGCAAAGAGTGAGCGGCGGCACCAGATCAATGCTGTTGGTTCTTTACACTGGTGAGATTCTACTTGATGAGTATTAAAAACACTCTACTTTCTGAGAATTCTTTATCACCGAACAGCAGTTGGGGATATGGGAGGAACTAAGGCATGCTTTGTATCTGTGTAGATCATTACTTCCATTTTTTTTTTTCGCATTCAAAATACTTTTTATGGGGTTGGGAATTGATGATTTCTCCAAAGCTTTTATGAATTTAAAGCATGCCAGTCAATATAATAACATCTGTTAAGAATGTCAGACTTTGGCCGGGCGCAGTGGCACACGCCTGTAATCCCAGCACCTTGGGAGGTTGAGGTGGGTGGACTGCTGGAGGCCAGGAGCTCGAGACTAGCCTTGTCAATATAGTGAAACTCTGTCCCTACTGAAAATACCAAAGTTAACCGGGCGTGGTGGCTCATGCTTGTAATCCCAGCTTCTTGGGAGGCTGAGGCTGGAGAGTTGCTGAATGTCACTTGAACTGGGGAGGCAGAGGTTGCAGTGAGCGGAGATTGCGCCCCTGCACTCTAGCCTGGGCGACAGAGCAAGACTGTCTCAAAAAAAAAAAAGAAAAACAGAAAGTCAGGTTTTGTTCCAAAAAAAGAAAGAAAATATCAGAGTGCACCCTGCTAAGTCAGCATTAATATTTTGTGAATTACATATATGTGTAGTGAGTATGACAGAAAAATGTATTTGTTTTTACTGTGGCCATGGCTAACAGTTTGAAAAACACTCTATCAGGAGGACATTTACTTAAAAGGCAGCTATAGTGTGGTCAAATAAGACGAAGTCACGGCTGGGCATGGTGGCTCATGCTCGTAATCCTAGCACTTTGGGAGGCTAAGGCGGGTGGATCATTTGAGGTCCGGAGTTCGAGACCAGGCAGACCAAGATGGTGAAACCCCTTCTCTACTAAAAATACAAAAAAATTAGGTGGGCTTGGTGGCGTACACCTGTAATCTCAGCTACTCAGGAGGCCGAGGCAGGAGAATTGCTTGAACCCAGGCAGCAGAGGTTACAAATCGTGGCACCGAGGTGTGGGGATCACTTGAAGTCAGGAGTTCAAGACCAGCCTGGCCAAGATGGTGAAACCCCTTCTCTACTAAAAATACAAAAAAATTAGGTGGGCTTGGTGGCGTACACCTGTAATCTCAGCTACTCAGGAGGCTAAGGCAGGAGAATCACTTGAACTTGGGAGGCAGTGAGCCAAGATCGTGGCACCGCACCCCAGCCTGGGTGACAGAGCAAGACTCCATCTCAAAAAAAAAAAAAAAAGGAAGTCAAAAGTTGGAAACCTGGCTTTGTTATGTAATCTCTACATACAACACACACTTCTAGTTATGTGATGGACAAATTTCTCTGAAAAACTCTTATTCCACAAATACCAAAACATATTAAGATCTAGTTTAAGGCAAAGGAAAGGAAGGGAAACCCAGGGACTGAACATGAGAAAGGATATGAAACTCAAATGGGAAGTAAAGAGGAAGATAAACGTGTAGATTAGATTACTGTTCAGTAAATATCTACTCCCTTCTCCGCACCCCCATGGGAGCAGCTTCTTTCTCCTCTGCTTCTTGACTCTGGGTGTGGGCCATGTGACTTCCTCTGGCCAACTGATGTTAGCAGATATGGTGTAAACACAGAGTTAAAGTGCGCTCGTATGTAAGGCTTGCCTAGTACGCCTGCTTTTCATCATGGGAAGAACATGCCTCAGGTAGCTGCTGCTCCATGGATGATGAGAAACACAT